TATATTTATATGTGTGTGTGTGTGTATTTTTGGAAGAGAACAAGAAATGGATTCTTAAACTTTTTTACGGGATTCTATAGGTAATTGCGGAAAATCTTTCTGAAGAAGAAATTATAGGCTTGAAGGAGATGTTCAAATCGATGGATACTGACAATAGTGGAACTATCACTTATGAAGAGCTAAAAGCCGGCTTACCGAAGCTTGGAACGAAGCTGTCTGAATCAGAAGTCAAACAGTTAATGGAAGCGGTATTATCTCTTATTCCTTTTTCTTTCTTTCTTCTTTTTGGGGGTTAATGGAAGCTGTCTGAACCAAGTCCATGCATAAATCTTGATGTTCTTTATGCGTGTGATAATAATTTTTTTCGGTTTTAAGCAGAAGCATAATAGATATATATATTAACCTTGCATGCCATCTCGTAATGTGATGTCTTATCTGGTCTGGACGCTTGGACTGTTGTACTAAAGCATAGCATGAGAAGTTTTGTTCGAGTGGACAAGGACAATTTCGTAATTACCTATTTGCAAATTACTTAAGACTGATACTACTGTATTTAACGATGTGTTCCTCAAATAGCCACGTGAAAAACATTTTCTTGCCATGTGTACTAATAGGGCATATGCATAGAACATCATAGTATAGCTTGGCACTTTGCGATTAGCTTGCAGACGAAGAGGGTTTCGGGGTCTAAAGTTCACCCAATTTCGTAAAAATTGGGAACATCAAAACTAACCTCAGTTGGGAAAGTATCACTGATTTGCAGCTTATTTCGCTGAAATATTATATTTAATTAGCTTTAGTTTAAAATTCAGTAGTTTGCATATGTATAAAAATGGCTGCTTTGTCATGTTTCTCAACAACATACCCAGATATTCCCAACTGGTTGGGGTCGGGGCGTCAGTTGTACGCAGACCTTACCCTTGTAATTATACAAGGAGGTTGTAATTATACAAGGAGGCTGTTTCAGTAGCGACCCAAGGTGCATTGCATCGTTTGATATATCTTTTTCTAGAAACTTCACTAATAGAAGAAGCACTAGAATTTAATTGAGTCACTTTGATCTAGTCCATTATTAGCACTATGCCAGGAGAATTGTCAACAATGACTCTTCCAGCTCCATTTGCAATGAACAAATTTGTCATGTTTCTCAGATTTTTTTTAAAAAAAATATTTTCAGGCTGACGTGGATGGAAATGGGACAATCGATTACATTGAATTTATCACAGCTACAATGCACATGAACCGAATGGAGAGAGAGGACCATTTGTACAAAGCATTTGAATATTTTGACAAAGATAAGAGCGGGTAATACCTCTCTCTCTCTCTCTCTCTCTCTCTCTATTATTTTGGGTATTGTGTGCTTTTTGTTCATGTGAGCTTTCTATATTTAGGTACATCACGATGGAAGAGTTAGAACATGCCATGAAAGAATACAACATGGGAGACTCTAAAACTATTAAGGAAATCCTTACTGAAGTAGACACTGATCGGGTAAAATCTTATTTCTTTGCTATTTGTGGCCTTATATTTATGTATTACATTTTCTCCATACAAATTTGTTGGAATATCACTTGTGAGTTGAGTTGTCCCACAATGATTCTATATGAAAAAAGAGTCTAGTATATATGCCTAGTGGGCTACTCCTCCCATCACCAATTGGTTTTGAGATGGAACATCTCTTAGGTGTAACTAGGCTCACCCTCTTATGGTGCGCTTCACCTTGTGGGACTGCACTCTCTTCTCCCGGTTCTAATAAACTTCAAATCAAATCCTATTCTATTTTGTTCTACGGAGAAAACGAAAGAAAGAGAAAAAAGAAGAAGACGATTTTTGGTTGATTATATATTTATATATGAGTATTTGAAATCTTTCATGTACAAATCCAAATAACACAATCCTTAATCTTTTGGCATGATTGTTTTTTTTTTTTCAAGAAAAGAGATAACGACCCAAATATCTTGTAAGAAACTATCTCGAAAACTAACCTTGAATTCGCAATGCATCAACTCATCGAGTTGTTTATGTGCTGCAGGATGGGAAAATAAACTATGATGAGTTTGCAGCTATGATGAGGAAAGGCAATCCTGAAATAGGCACCAACAGACGGAGAAAATAGAATCGAGAACATACTTTATAAACGCAACTATATATGCGCCATGAAGATGATATTTTTTATATGTATTGATGGTGTTCCCCTTCGGTTTTTCGCCTTCTTCTTGTTGTTGTCTATATCTTGATTTTTTGGCCTGAGATTTGGGTGCCAAATTTGTTCTACAGTTGTTTTTTTTTTATGTTGAAGTGCGAGTGTGGCTTGTGGGGAAATATGTGTTCTATCGTTGGTGAATGCTGCCATTGTCATTTCATTCACATGCATTATCACAAAGTTTAATGAAACGTGTAGTTTTAAAAGTAAAAAAACAACTCGTGAACTAAAATTAAAATATATGGGAAAATGTTACGATCCTGTTGACAGCGTGTCGCGACGCGGGAAATTTAAATTTTTAAAGTTTTCTCAACTAACCTCCACTAACTAGTAGTAGCGGTGAGTAAAGGTCGATTCCACGAGGAGTAGGAATTAAGTCGTGGCAATTTTTGTATTAATCGAATTCAAACTAAGAAAGCGAATAAGGGGGAGATTGATTTTATAAGAATAAAAATAATAAAATAAAATAAAATCAATAAAATAAAATAAGAGAAGTCTAGTTTTCGGTTCAGTTATCACCCAAATCTCAATCTACCGTTAATTAATTTTGACGCTTTCTTTAAATTGCTAACGAATTACCAACCCTAGCTAACAACAAACTCTGTTAACTGAATTTTCCTTACATAATATTTAGTCGAAATAAGCTCTTCGACCAAGCCTAACTAGCGGACAACCTAGAATAAGCTCTCTAGATTTAAATTCACTAACAGCATTAATTACTAGAAAAATAAATCAGTCTAAGCAATGGACGCGTAAGCTCGGACCATTTAACTTACGTTCACTCTACCCTAAGGATGCACGACCCCTAGTTTACTACTAACGAAACAAGACAATAACAATTACGGATTAAAGTCCTAAATCTAGCAATTAAACTATGAACATTTAATGTAGCTGGTCAAACTAAATCAAACACCATAATTTCGAAACACTAAACACAGATAACGTGAATCAAATCATCAACAAAAATAAATACGGCGTCTCAATTAACCAACGATAAAAATAAATCTTTCAATCCATAGACAAATCAAAGTTAGGGTTCAAACATCCCCTTAAACTGGATAAAAATACTAATCTAACATATTAATAAAAACAAAGAATAGATAATAAGAGAGAAGATAAAAATATCTCCCTCGTGTGCAGGTGCAGCTTCCCTCCGCGTGTGTAGCCTCCTTCAGAATCCGTGCGTGTTTTTCTTTTTCTTCCCGTGTGGCTATTTTTCTGTGCGTGGCGCTCTCTGTCTGCGTAAGTACTCTTCTCTGTACAACCCCACCTCGAAAATAATTCCAATGTCTAGTGTTATGTGGCGTGAATCCCTCCTTAGGTAAGTGTCCTTCAGGAAAATAATTTCTCTTTGATCCAAATTTCAAGTCCTACGGCCCTTTCTTTTTATTTCCAAGCAAATCCACTTTCTTTTCATTTTAATTTCTTTAGTTAAAAAAACCCTCCCAAATTAATGGGCCTTCCAATGAGTCCTCGACCGTGTTACTTTCGACTGCGTAAGTCTTCAAAATAAATACTCTAGTATGCTGAAAATAAACATAAAAATGTCAATGTATATGAATCCATTCAAATAATAAATAAATCAAAAAAATAAAAACATGCGAATAAATTAAGTATATAAAAATACTCTTGAATATATAAAACGCGCACATTTTTCGACCTATCACCTGTTACGGAATTATTTCGTCGGAGTTTATAACCGGTAGATCAATTATATCTAACGATTATATAATGATCTAACGGTTACAAACCTCGACAAAATGGTTTCATAATGGGACCGTAGCATTTCCCATTTATACATTTCACAATTCCTAACTTAACTCTATATCAAAAAGTTTGAACTCCAACAAGTGACCGTTTTTCTCACATTTTATTTATATATAGTTGTTGACAAGGTTCATTTAATTTTATTAAGCCTTTAATTGATAATAATATGAGTTCATTTAATAAAAAATAGGTTGCATTTAAAAAAAATTATGACATCCATCCAAAAACCGTTACAATTTTTTTTTTCTTTTAATTTATTTCATACAATCATCCACCTATTTTTTACTATATTTTGAATTTGTAAGGGTTGCATGCAATTACCATGTTTCTATATTTGGAGAATATGGTTACGAGATAATGTTTAAAACCTTATATATATATATATATATATTTTATCAAAACCCTTATATTTGAATGGTTATTTTTATTTTTTATTTTTAATTTGTACGTTGATTATTCACACGCAGAAGAAGTATTAAGTATTGATATGCTAGAGATACAACGCAAAATAGATATAAAAAAAGTCATATATTGTAATAGAAATCTTTACACCAGCTATTCAAATTCAAAATTTTCATCAAAGATTACTATATTAGTTGAATTTAATAAAACATAAATATCCATATTATTTTATATAATAAATATAGTGATAAATTTAGATACTTTTATGATGTTCATTTTTACTAACGACAAAATTTTTAAATTGTGATACTATCATTTAACTTATAATTTTACAATTATATACATACACTTAACTTATAAAGTATGATAATTTAAATTTTTGTGCATGCGCACAGGATCAAATATTTCAATAAAATACCTGATAATAACTAAATAATTTTTTTTAATACCTGATAATAACTAAATAATTTTTTTCTTGACGTAATCATTAGAATTTATTTCTCAATTTTAAATCATATTTTAAATTTATACGCAGACAATCCATGTTATAGAATATCTATATCTTGATTTATGAACAAAAAATGAGAATAATTTATTTATATGAACAGCTGTTCACAGTTTCATTGAATTCATAACCATCAGGGACAAAATCGTAAATCCAAGCCCTAATCTCTTTCGTCGACCCAGCGCTCATTGGCCGAGCCAGGCGGTGCAACCCAATTGCGTGATCAGAGTCTGACGCGCCGCATCACGTGCTTCGCACCCCACAGTAAAATATTGTAGGCCGCCATACCTCAGCCGTCCAAATTGTCCGTTAAGGTGGGCCCCAACTCCCCCCATTCCTTTAAATTTGTCCCTACGCAGAAAAAAATGACGCCCTGATAAAGCGGGAAGCAACCTCCTCAGTTTTTGCACAAGCACTAGAAAAAAAAAAGAAAATTGAAAGAAAAATTAACCGCTCTCCGTCACCGCCGTGTACCGCCGCGAAAATTTCACGTTGTAAAAGCTCCGGGACCTTCCAGATCAGGTTGTTCGTTTCGAA